TCTTTATGTATAAACAAAATAAACAAAATAAATGGCGAAAAAGAGTCGTCGCATAATATATTTAATTAAAGATAATAGTCATAGATACATAAAATAAAAAGTAAAACGGCGTATATTAAAATATAAAACAAACAAGTTCCGGCTGCTGGATTGAGCCCTCCTCAGATGTAAAAAGAATATAATTCGAAAAGACATAAAAGATTACAACAACAACAAAAATCGATTTATTTATTTTTTTTTTAATATAACATGTTGACAAAATTTCCTTTAACTGTCTATTATTAACTTTAACAAATAATATTTTAATGCCATTTAAATTTACTCTCTCAAGCTGAAGAACATTAATACTAGAGTCCGACGGAAACCACATTTTGACCACCGGCCGAAACCGGAAACGAATATTCGGTTGTCATTCAATTTTGATATCAATTTTGATTATAATTACATTTTTAGTTTAATTAAATAAAACTGAAAAAAATGTTTTATTATGATTATTTTAATAAACTTTATATATATATCCGTAGCATATTAAGACGATAAGTTAAAATTTATCGAAATAAACACACACAGTAGTCAAACATTGAATGACAATAAGTAATTTATGTTTCAATTAATATCCATTTATTATTGATTAATATATAATTTTGTTATAATATATATTTTATACTTTTTAATGTGATGTGTTGGCCCATATGACATTACTTTGCTTAAGCTTGCGTTTCCATTAAAGTTGGCAAAAGAAGTACAAGCCATCGAATTAGCACCACCAGAAAGTGAACTAATTAGAAAGGCATGGCTTTGTGGATGAGGATCCACTTTTTTTTTCTCCAAAATACCAGATAAACTTCAACAAGTTTAGAATGTATGGAATACATTAATCGCATAACATGTTAGTACTTGAAGCTGTTAGTACTCTGACAGGATCTTCTCCTTCTCCTGTTCACGAGACTAAAGTCTGTACTGAACCATCGGACAAAGCGACTTCCGCATGCAGTGTAAGTGTCAGACTTTTAGTAAATTCAGTAAACGACAATAGCTTTGTTACCGTCTTAATGTAGTAATTTAATGTCGATTTTTTAATACACTTTTAGAGTGATTCTGATGGCTCATTTTGCATAATGGAGAAAAACTGTTTCTCACTGGAATTGTATCTTGGAGTATTTTTCCATGTGGTACTTGCAGGTGCGTCATCCGTATACAAGATATCCAATTTCAATAATTGAATCGAACAGAAAATCAGTAATGATTAATGACAGCAATATTGACGATGTATCAAATGCATACTAAATGACAAATTATTGTATATATATATATTATATTATATATATTATTCGAAAAAAAGTAAAAACGTAGCTTAACTAAATAATGACGTCTTTTATTCTGATCCTAGAGTAAAAAACTAAATAGTAATTTGAATGAAGAAAACATTTTTAACAACTATTCATATTTTTATTTTATTCAACAGATAATAGTTACAAATTATCTAATAAATATATACTTGTTGCAGTGATACTGGCTAATATCTATTCTAAGTTAATATACTTAAAATAATTTTTGAATCTAATAGTTAATACAACAGGATAATCATATAATTGTTATAAAAATAAATTTAATATGGTAAAAGTCAATCCAAAATTATTAAATTTATGCTAAAATACATTATCTTCATCAAATGTGCAGTATGCAAAATAAATTAATTATATAATATATACCTTTAGTTTATACCTTTTAGCACAAATTTAAATGCCAAACTATTGATGCCAAACTATAGATACCAAACTATTGCATTGTAAAGAATTGTTTTCAGATTTTATGCTATTGATTAGTAATATTATTATATAATGATTATATAAAGATACATTCATAAAGTATCACAAAAAGCAGTTCTGAATAACAATGCACTATTCGAACAATAAAAGTTAAAGACTCCTTTAGACTTTTATACAGTATATCAAATACACACAAAAGGCAAATAGTTGAAAGATTCACTTCCCTAATCAAATTCTCCCATCAAATATATTTTACAAATGTATATTTAACAATTTATTTACCATTCCCTGATAGCACCTGTGATTACTTTTACTGCGGCCAGTGCTTCTTTGGCTGTCGAAATAATATACTGAGGTGGCAGTAGGAAGCCGTATCTTCCAGTGTCCCGCAATTCGATCGTGTATGTATACTTGATCTTGAGCAGAGCTTTAGCCCAGTCATCGGAACCGCCAGCAGCAGGATACAACGTTATCGCGCTATTTCCGACAGTGTACTCTGTATTATCGCCTCCTTCGTATTTCATATATTTAGCTGCTTCAAGCCCAACCGCATCAAGATCTCGATAATCAGGCGGCAAACGTTGATCATATCCCCACGGATACAAAATATATTGACCATATGAATGAAACGTTATATATGCCTGCAAGAAAAAAATAATAAAGTGCTACAATGGCATGAAAGGAATATTTCAAAATTTATAAAGTTAATTTCTGAGATTGAATTGTCCGTGAATTGATTGTTATAAAACGTTATTATAAATATCTCAAAATATATATATATGT